GGCTGTCACCATTGCTGAGTGCCTTCTCTAACAAGTGGGGCACTCAGTCATGGACCGAGAGCCCGACAGTGTCCGGAGAGAGGAGGGGACCCGGCTGCATACCTGATCCCGCAGGGTGAACGTCCTCTCCTCTCTCTGCCGGCGTCCATAACCAAGATGGCCGCCGGCAGGCATCAATCAGATGGTCGCGCATGCGCGATGACGACACGGCGGGTAGGAACCGGGAGATACCCGGCCCCAGGAGGCCCCTTTAGGGCAGGTTCACACCATTTTCGGGACCAGATCTGGAACACAGTGCATTGCGTTTTGCTGCGTCCCGGAGCTGGTTTTTTTTTTTTTGCTTTTCAGGCGCATTTCCATGCGTTCCAGTGCATTCCCGACCAGACAAAATGAATCACTCAGTATTTTTCTGGTCGCGTCTGGTCTGGTACGGACTGCGCTGGTGGGAACCAAGGCCAGAAATAGCATAGGGATACATTGGGATGCATTTTGGGTCCGGAAACAATCTGGTCTGGAGGTGATGTGGTGTGAATGGGTCCTAAAAACACATCAAATGAAACTCCGTACCATAACTTATTTATTAAATGTTCTCTTTGCAATATTCAGAATCTCTATGAACATATAGATCTCCTATCTGTTTCCTGAAGAAGCAGATTTATAATCTGGGAAATATATTGAGAAGAACCTCATCCCTCTTTAGATGTTGAATTGGAGATACGAAGATAATTGACTCTTTCAAACCAAAAAGTAGTTTTCACATATATAGGCCATACAGGGAGTTTTTAGGGTGCTGAGAGGTCTACATGTTCAGAGGTTTTAAATAATGCAAATAAGATGCATGTATAATGACAGTGAATTCAATTTGGTGTGTTTTTTAAGGTATGATCATGAAAACATGTAGACTTTTATGTGAATACCGTGAAAAACCATATACACTTTGTGACCAGCAGCAACAATACTGTGGTGCCTGCACCTGATTGATCTCAAATAGCTAATTTGTTGCGCTAGGTCTGTCCCTAACAAAATACCTCAAAAAATGTGCAATCAGTGAATTCGATCGATTATGTAAACATGTCCGTGTGGTCAGATCTAAAAAAAAAAACGTCCAACCTTGATAGTGTTGGTGAACCTAGCTTCTTGTATCGCCCAGAATTCCTGGGTGATACAAGAATGAGTGAACTCATTCCACATATTTTGAGGTATCTTGTTATTTTGTTAGGCACAGACCCAGCTATTTGAGATGTAGACTTTTATATTTTGTTTGTAAATATTTTCCTGTATTTTTGTTTTTTAAAGTCCCATTTTCCACAATTTTTGTTAGCTTTTATATTTGGGGATGTGGATACTGGGATTGTAATTCAGTTCAACGATTATGAAGGTCTCGCATTTGTGCTGTATAGACAATAAATTCTCTTTGCTAATCACAATTAATCGGGTCCCTGTCTTGTCTTAGGTATTTGGATTTGTGCTGTATAGACAATTAATTCTCTTTACTAATTTGTTTCCCGTCTTGTCTCAGGCTTTTGGATTTGTGCTGTACAGGACTCGCCTGCCCTCAGACATTCCGTTCCCAACTCCTCTTTCATCGCAAGTTTCTGGCGTCCATGATCGAGCATACATTTCAGTTGGAGGGGTAATAAGAATTCACTGTGTTTTATTATATACTATCAATATATTTATATATCACTGCTCATGATACACATGTCAATGGGAGCAATAGATCATTCATATCAGTACCTACCCCTGCTGGTGCTTACAGTTTAGCGAGGCTCGTAATTATTGCAACCCTCTCTGCAACCCTGCAACCCTCTCACATGAAGCACTTTAGTTTGGTACAAATTGTGGTCAGGTCAGTACAGGACTGTGAAGTGTAGCATTTAAGGAGTAAGGGTTATAGGGTTTCTTGACAAGCAGTAAAAAAAACAGCAGTAAGGAAAACAAACCCTCACTGACATCTCTAACTGCATGTACTGTAAATGAATCAACACACAGAGGGGCGGCAGGTTACCAAGATTCTACTCTCATAGAAAGTAAAGGGGAGAGGAGCTATGATTAGTGTAGGTGCTTCTTTTGTGTATTTTGAAGATTCATTTCTGTACAATGCCTGTAACTACAGAGGTGAATGAGGGCTTGTTCTAAAATGCTCTTACTGCTTGTGCAGAATATGTAAATACTTTTTTTTTAATGTGCATAGTCTGGACACATTCACATGAGGGATCAGTGTGCAGAGCTAATTTGGTGGGGGGGGGGGTTAGGTTTAAAACTGAGTTGTGGAAAAACATTTTATGGGGCACCAATAAGGTACCTCTGATGTGTGGACCCTCTAGTGGCTACTGCTTCTTTCTTGAAAAACGTTACTTACATGCAGCCTCTGACGTTGATGTCACCGTTAAAGTTCTGGCGCCGAAACTGCATGTCAGGGCTGGAGCATAGCTATCACAGCAGCTCTGCAGCTTCTCCATTCAGATGATGTCTTGTATTCTTTTTAAAGGCTGCAAGTCATCCTGTGATTGGACAAGGAAAGTATGAACACCATGATCTTCTCTTTTTTTACTTTCTTGATAGAACAGGGAAGGATTGACAGGTGTTCTAATTATTCCTTATGCTGTCCAAAATCTAAATAATGGCTTTAGACATACTTTTAGTTTTATGGTAATCCTAGTGTGTTGTGGTGCCATTTATTGTGACTCATACTCCAACACACTATACGTTAGTGGCAAACGAACAGCAATGCATCACAGCACACATACTGTGCACTATAAAGCAATGCAGTGGGGAAAAAAAGCTCCTGTTGCTGGTCCGTTGCGGACGATGTCCTGTGAGGATCAAACCTAGAACCTCATTGCTGCTCCACTCCAACCTATGCTCCTGATTAAAACATCACTTGTAATTAAAAGCAAATCCCAGGCTATGTAGGTCTCCCCTAAAGGCAATGACTTGTTGAAGTAAGCATCAATTCTTATAATGAGCAGAAAAGGAAATACGATTTTTTACAATGTTTCCTGATGAGCAGATGTTTTGTCACATCATTCTACTGCTACATCTGCTCATTTATTGTGAAAATCCCATGTAACCTTGTATTCATCTTTGTCTACATAGAGATTCTATGGTGTGCTGGAAAGAGACAGAATCAGCAATGTTAATGTGACGGGGAGTGCAGGAGAATGGCTGGATGTCCTGGTGGAAAATATGGGCAGGATTAATTTTGGAGCTGATATTACTGACTTTAAGGTAAAAAAAGATTTTCCTTTCCTTCTATTGACACACAAGTAGCTAGTTATTTTAAAGGAAACATGCATATTTTTTGCTTTTCAGTAAGCTGCGTGTGGACGGCTGTCTAGGCCTTTTATACTGTGTTGGTTTCTGTTCTAGGGTTTATTGGGAAACCTGACTCTGGGGGAAGACATCCTCAGAGACTGGGTTGTGTACTCACTCGATATAGATGGCCCAATTGCAGCAGGGTGGCCCTATGTTCCGGATAATCACATCTGGATGAATCCGCAATTGCAGAACAGAACCGGTCCGACCTTCTACAGCGGAACTTTTCAAATCGGTGCAGTTGGTGACACGTTCTTAAAACTTCCCAAATGGACAAAGGTAAAAACGACCTTTTAGCAGCCTCTAATCAGAGATATGACCTTATTACTAAATGTACTGTAGATCACACATTTCCATGTTCAACGATAGAACATGCGTTAGCAGAGCACAGTGTAACAAAGTGCAGCTTACAGTACGCCTATAGAAGTGACTGTGGATGCAGATAATGCATAATAGATGTTTCAAGTCTGATACGTTTCACAATTAAATCCAAATGAACACTGTTGCACCGAGGATCATACGTGTTACTGCAACACGTGGCAATGCATGTTGGTCCCCTGCTGAGCCATTCATTTTGAATGACCTCTAATGCAGCTGCATTGCAGCAGACCACATGGTAAAATCTTATTAGGGATGTCACCAGCATACCGAACTAAAGTGAAGCAAACATCTATTTATTGATGCATACTGTCATAACAAATCTCAATGTTTCGGGGCTACACAGGGTCGCCTTCCTCAGACTTGAAAGGGTAACAAACTCCCGTGTTGGTAAAATTGGTTCCTGCACCTTTTTTTTTTTTTTTTGGTGTTACGCAGGCCATTCAGGCCTTGTTCACACCAAGCGCAGAGCAGATCAGTTGCAGACCGGAGCAAAACTGCGTCCAATGTATTCCTATGGTATTTTTTGCTCCAGTTGACATCGCAGCGTGTAGTTCCAGAGCAGGTGAAAAAACTGCAGCAGGCCCTATTTTACCTGCTCTGGATCTACAAACGCATCAAAAACGCATGCATATGCCTGGAACGCACTGAAAGCCCATTTTAAACTTAAGGTTTTTTTCTTCTTTTTTTAGCCAAAAATGCTTCACAAACGCATCTAAAAGACTAGCGTGTGTGTGCAGAAACCTGACCGGATCTGCTCTGCATTTGGTGTAAACAAGGCCTAAAAGGAATAAATGCATTTTAATGTGTTGCATTAAAGCAGTCAATTCATTTAAATAGGCTGCCTAAAGCACAAAAAAGAAGGTGCATGCACCATTTATAGCAAAGTAGCGCACCACAAAGCGTGGTAATGCACTATGCAACCAAGGACTGCTAGCTTGCTCTCTAGGTCTTGTCAGCTGCAACTCCCATAATGATCACATTGTGTATTATGTCCATGCCATCAATCCACTGATTCTGTATGCATATTGTATTCACATTGCCTGATTGTTGTTCTCCTTCAGGGACAGGTTTGGATAAACGGTTTCAACATTGGGAGATACTGGCCTGCTCGAGGACCACAGATCACCCTGTATGTGCCCAGCAATATTCTGAGCTCGTCGCAACTGAATCGCATCACCATACTGGAATTGGAACATGCTCCAGATTGGTCCACGGTCATCTTTCTGGACCGACCTATATTGAATGGCACTCTATCAGGGAGATGAGCTTCTGCTGTACTTTTTGACAAAATAGAAGTTAATTGTCAAGCTTCAATGGCACAAAATACAACCGTATTATAGAGTTTTGTCCGCTTAATCAGGATGTTATTGTGCATTGTCCAACAGCAGAAAGCTGAAGGCAGACAAATAAGGGAAGGTCCAGGCGTTCAAAGAAAGATTCTGTTCTGCCAGTTTAGCTTTGAGATTTAAATAGTTCAAAATCAAGAAACGTGCAGCATGGTAGAACCAGGAATATGCAAGCTGAGTTCTTCCAGGATCCAGAGAACTACAAGTCCAAGCAGGCATGGTGTGCTGGTACTTGTTTGCCAGAAGTTGGAAGACCACAGGTTGATCATGCATGACATAGGGGTGCAGAGTGCCAGCACTCATGTCTCATGAGTGTGTGTCTTCACAATGCATACTTCAACCCACTATGCTCTAGAAGGCTTTGTCTAGGGCAGATGTCGTATGGCAATCTTAAGGAACTTGTAGATATTTTAGATCAATGTGCACCATAAGGCCTCATTCACTGTTTTGTAGCACTGTTTCTGCTCAAAAAAAGCCCCCCATTCATTTCAATGGTCCTATTCACATCTGAGTGTCATGGCGCCTGTAGCAAGTTCATGAGCTAATTTTTGGCAGATTCTGCGCTTCTCGTCCCCATAGACTTCAATGGAAATGCTCAAAACCATCAATGGGCCACAATCTGCTCATTAAAACATACAACTTTATATACACTGAGTGGCCAGATTATTATGACCACCCCATCAGTACTTAGTTGGGCCGCCTCGTGACTCCACGAGATGATGAAAGGTGATGCGAGGAATCTGACACGGCACTGTTGCCCTTCTGTTGTCTTGTACCAGTCTTGCCCCTCCCTCGTTCTGCCCTAACATTGACTAGTCGCTGACGGACACAATTCGCACGTTCAGACCCAGATTTTCGGCTGGCAGTCCGGTCTTTAAACACTTTAACAATGAGCCCCTCTTGAACATTTAACAAATTTTGCTGTTTTGCTGATACTCGCTCCATGGCTCCGAGCGCCAACAATCATCCCACGTTCAAAGGCTGTTACATCGCGTTGTTTCCCCGTATCTTCAGAAACAAATCACTTCTACTGTCGTGGTAAACAACCTGCTCCCTATTTATAATGGTCTGGCCCTCTAGCAACTTCAGCGCAAAATTATAACTAATTTACCTACAAACGTCAGGTGGTCATAATAATCTGGCCACTCAGTGTATGTGGGTAAACGCACATTAAATATGCACAAATGTACTGAAAACACGTATTTGTCACTCAGGTATGAATGCAGCCTAAAAGCTAGCCATACACCTATAGATTATCTGCAGATGTTCTAGGGTCAGATGGAAAAAGTGTAACAGATTCCTCCGTCTACGCTAAACTGTGTTGATGGAGGAATCTCCCACGGGGCCAAGCTTCAGTATCTTTCTAGTCGGCTGCGCTGGCTCTCAAATTACCTGAACAATCTGATTGGATGCAGGCATTGTTCAGGTGTTTTGACAGCCAGAGGGGCCGACTAGCAAGATACTGAATCTTGGCCCAGCGGGAGATTCAACACAGTTTAGCGTAGATGGAGGAATCTGTTACACTTTTTCCATCTGACCATATAAAGTCTGCAGATAATCTATAGGTGTGTGGCCAGCTTAGGACTGTAATATCTGAGCTGAGCTTTGTTAGGGTGAAAGAAAAAGGTGTGAGCTATTTTCCTGCCTGATTGCTTCTCTAAGCTGAGGCATGCCCCAGAATAATTTATGCAATATACAAACATGGCAACATGCTGGTTAACTGCTGTGGTCTGGGGTTAGATTCTTACTAGGGACAATACTTGCATGGCGTTTGTATGTTCTGCCTGTGTTGGTTTGGATGTTCTCCAATATTCTAAAAAACAATCTTTTGGGTTAACCGGCCTTTGCTTAAAGCCTACGCTAGTCTGAGTTTCTCATGCAGAAGAAAGAAGTGGTAATATACTTCCATAGCTGTAGCTTACCATGAAATCAACAGATCACAGCAATAGCACTAAAATCGACATAAAGCACAATCATATATTACAAGCACTTATCTGAAAAGAAAATGTGGAAGGGGCTGACATGTAGGCACAATCCCAAAATGTACTGCCGGGCTGGACAAATCCCAGGAGCCAGATAGCCAATGCTCCTTAAAAATGACAGCTGGCTCCTAACGTTTCAGATTTCTCCCTGCTCGTACCATAGTCCTGCTGGCCCCTGAATGGCCTATTATTTTGTCCACCCTGATTTAATGGCTATAGCCAAAGAATAAAGCTGAACTCCATGCTTGCAGACAAATAAACCGTTTTACCTAGCAAAGGGTTTGTAAATCTGTCTAATCAGTTTAGTGATCTAGGCACCTAAGCCAGACAGACCCTGAATCTGGTTGTAGAGAAGAACTTTTCGCACTCCTTATCAGAAATCCCACTGATATGGATACGTGCTGAAATGACTGCAGATGGCGCTTCTGTCACATAAGTGTGGTAGAGGAGAATGTCACCAGCACAGCAAAATCCTTTTAGGAGAATAAATTGTTCATTTTATTGAACAGAAGCACTTTCGGGACCTCGCAGGCTCCCTTCATCGGGCTCAACATCGTCCCGAAAGCACTTGCTTTTCAACTGACAATCTGTTCAATAAAATGAACAATTGATTATCCTAAAAGGATTTTGGTGTGCTGGTGACATTCTCCTCTACCACACCCTGAATCTGGACCTCCAATACAGCAGCTTATCTTAGGGTAACGGGAGGACACTAGTTTGTGTCCTCCCGTTACCCTAAGGAGAACTATGGGGGAAAAACACTGACCCCCATAGTTCTCCTTTAACTTGGTCAAGAATAATGATCTAAACACAGCCCGCCTGCCTCGTGTGCCAGCAAAGGAGCAGCAGCACTCTACTGAGGTGATCACACTGCTTTCTATCACTGGCTCACTGCTGTCCTTCCCTTTATCATTGTGACTACTGCTATACATGAATAACACAGAAGGCTGATATATGGTCAAACTCAGGTAGTTACACACATTTGATCAATAATATGGCTGCACATAGTAATAAACATTTATTCAATAGATGAAGTTGGTGGTTAAAATAGTCATAGGTAACAAAAGAATTGCTTAGTTTACCTAATAAAAAAAAAGAATGTAAAAGCGGTCCATAGTCTTACCGAAAATAATGGACAGGGAGGCGCTGGTCTGTACACTATAACACAAGGACATACCATTTCTTTGCCACCGAAGCAGTGTATAAACAGTTAATTTCCTTCTTCTCAATGAGAAATAGATCATGCCAACACAGAGGGGGGAATTTATCAAAACTGCAGCAGAAGAATCTGGAGCAGTTGCCTATGGCAACCAATCAGCTTCTCTCTTCAGTTTGGTTCAGTTAAGGTTTGAAAATAAAAGAGAAGCTGATTGGTTGCCGTGCACAGCTGCTCCAGATTTTGTCTGCTCCAGTTTTGATAAATTCCCCTCAGAGTGTTTCCAACTCGTCAGAAGGGCATGTTGTCACCACACCACCCTTTTATTAACAAAACGAATGGCACGGGAGCAGTTCCTTAAAGTAAACTTGGCATTGGGGGGGGGGGGCAGGATGTACATTAGCACCAATATGGGAGCAGACACAATGGACTTTTAGGATTGAATCCCAGCCCTCCAGAGCACCCAGGGCCCCCTTATGTGAAAAACACTTTTTTTCTGAAAGTCAGGGTTCATGAAACCCCCGTCACATCTCACTGCAGTGGCACTCCGCAACTATGCGCTTACTTTCAGGATGCTGCAATTTGCAAAAGGAGTCCACAAGGTTCCTAGGGTGCTGATATGAAGAACTCCAGATTGCTTTATTAAAGAACTCTAGTCTCAGTGGACAGGGCTACCCATAT